CTTTTCGAGCCTATCCTTTTCATTGTGTAGTCGATTTCTTTCTAATGTTAAGTTCTGGTTGACCTTCTCGACACTTTTTACCGTCTTCTGAACAGAAGCGATTTTGTCTTCAAGGCGATCCTTGTCTTGTTCCAGGACCTCACAGCTGTCTCTCAAAGAAACATTTTTGCGATTTAATTCAGATACCTCACGTGCCAAGCGCTCACATTCGCCTCGCAAAGCTTCGGTTTCAAAATCGTTTTCCGGTGTTGTTTCGAGGTTGCTTTGTTCCACTATGGTAATTATATTATTTCTCTTCAGTTCGTCGTGACTCTGATGTAAATCGGAGATTTGGTCTTGAAGTGCTTGCAACTCTCGGTTGATTCTTTCGTTTTCTTCTTTCAGCAGTGAGTTGGATGCATCAAGTTCTGAGTTCTCCAGCTGTTGTTTTTGATTCTCGTATTGCAACTGTCTTTTGTCTTCTAAAACTTTGTCTAGGTCTGATCTAGCTGCAGTCAAGTCTTTTTTGGTTACGTACAGCTCACTCTGTAATGTGTCAGTGTCCTTCTGCAAGCGATCCACTTCGTAACCTTTCTCTGTTAATTTCTGATGCAGCTCGTCCACCTCCTGTTGTAGTTCCAACGTCTTTTCCTTGAGCTTATTTGTCTCACCTCTTAGATTCTCATTACGAACCCTTGTTTCTTCCAACGTTCCTTTGAGCTGTGCCTGGTATTTGAGTTTTTCTTGGAGATCTTCTTCGAGAGAATGGACTTTCGATCTGACATTTTGAAGTTCTCTCTGGAAATCTTTCTTACTCCGAACAGCTGCATCTAAAGCTGTCTGAAGCTCAGATGTCTTTTTGAAGCTGTCCATTAATTCTCGCTGTTTTCCATCCAGTGCCTCTTGAGTGTTAGACAAATCAGCTTCAGTCTTTGAAAGCATCTGATGTCCTTTAACTATCTCATCATTTAAGGCGTGTATCTTCTCGTCGTAGGCTTTGTTGAAAGTATCTAAACGAGCGATTTTGTTCTTGGCAGCTTGCAGCTCTTGCTCTAGTGATGTTACTTTCTTGTGCCACGCCAGAATCTCGTCCTTTCCAAACTTATCTTTCTCTTCCATGGCATTAATAATATCCTCTAACTCTTTGATGCGATTCTTTCCACAGGTGACTTCGTACTCTAGCGACTGATTTTCGTGGCTAACCTCATCTAGCTCTTGTTCCAGTTTAGCCAACCTTTTGCGTATCAAGTCCATCTGATTTTCGGAGTGCTCTTTTTCTTGATAAACCTGTTGTAGCTGTGACTGTAAATCGACAACTTTCTTTTGTAACGCAGCATCACTTTTTATCCTTGCTGTCTCGTTTTCAATGCTGTTAAAACTGTTTTGAATCTCCTGTTTTTTCTTTTGAATGGCGCTGTTCTCATTTTGCAGCTTTTTCTTTTCACGTTCCAAGGCGTCTAACTTGCCTTTTAACTCCAGATTGTTTTTCTTTAGTTGTGAAATCTCGCTCTTAAGTTCATTTCTTTCATTCTCCAGAGCTTGATTACGTGTTTCCAGGCCGGTAATTCTATTCTTCGCCGACAAAAAATCCATCTGCAACTTTTCAATCTCCTTCTTTGCCCCTTGGTAAGAATTCTTGTATTCAGCTGCAGTAGGTCGAAAGACCGCAATTTCCTGGGTTAGCTTTTCATTCTCTCGTCGCACTGATTTCAAGGTATTCTCTATGACACTGATTTTTGCTTCTTTTTGTTGAAGTGCCTCATTAAGGTTTTTTATCTCTTGATAGCCTCGGTCAAAATCATCATTGAAATGATCGATCTTTGTCTTCAATGAGTTGATCTCGTTTACCAAGGAACTGTTTGCCGACTTCAAGGAGTCGATTTCTCCATTCTTGTCGACAAGTTCGTTCCTTAGTCCTTCAATGGTGGTTTTGTTATCGTTGTTTTTCAATAGAAGAATTTCATTGTCTTCTTTCCTTCTGGATACATTGTCTAAGGCATCTTGAAGTTCTGCTTTCAAATTGGCGCTTTCTTTCATCGCATTCTGCAGGTCTCCTTCTAAGTCTGTTATTTTGTTGTTGTAGTTGATCAAATCGTTGTTCATTTCCTCGTTTTCGAGTAGAGTGGAATTGAGCTTTAAGTCGAAATCGGCCAATTGTTTCTTTAACGCAAAAGCTTCAGTGTCACTGGCATCCTTCTTTCTCAATGCATTGTCAATGGAGCCGTGTATGCTGGCTAGTTCGTCGCGTGCCACTTGCAAGTCTCTATCTTTTGCCTTGTTTTCATTTCTCAAATCTTGTATGAGAGCATCTCTGCCAGCTATTTCCTTTGTATGTTGGTCCCAGAGCGTTTGGTACTCAAGCAGCTTTCTCTGTGCCTGGAGGAGTTCCTCGTCATTTTTGCTTAGCTTAGAAATTTCTCCTTCTTTCTCTAATTCCATCTTTGATCTGGCTTTTCTTTCTTTATCCAAGAGTAGGTTCAATTGAGTAATTTTTGCGTTGGCTTCATTAAGTTCATGATTCAATGTATCCACTTCATTTATTGCTCCTTCGTAATCCTCCTTAAGTGGCGCTAATTCTTTTTGTATGGCGTACAAATCGTGCTCAAGTTCTGTTTTCTTCTCTTGAAGTGTTTCTCTACTCGACTCCAGCCTCGACAATTGAGTGTTTACAGCAAGAAGCCTCTCTTGAAGATCCTTCTCGTGATTGGTGCTCTCCTGAAGAGCATCCTCTGTTTCGGCAAGTTTCCGTTTAATGATTGCAAAATCCTCCTCAAAACCAAACGGATTGCTTTCTAGTGTTTGGACTTGTTGGACAGGAATGTCAAATGATTCTTCAACTTCCTTCCTCTTTGACTTTAAGTTGTTCAGATCAGACTCTTTTTTACGTAGAAGCCTCTTCGTTTCTGCCAACTGTTCTTCAATTACAGCATTTCTCTGTTTCAGGTCTTCCAACTGTCTTGTTTTGTTTTCTCCATCCAAGTTCATTGAATCAATGGTTGCTTTTAGAGAGGAGATCTCATTTTCCAAGGTAATATTTTCCTCTCGGTTCCTTGCCGACGATTCTTTCCATTCTTCCAGCTTGTCTTTCAGGTGATCTTTCTCTCTGTTTGAATCGGCCAACTGTTGTTCGAGATTTGCCATTTTGGCCATGTTGGAACGCGCTTCCTCGTGCGTTCGATCTCTTTCATATTCTGTCCTCTGTATACGTCCTTCATTTCCCTTAACATCATCTTGTAGCCGTAGTATTTCTTGTTGAAGGCGTTCCTTCTCTTGTTTCAGTCGCTGACAGTCTTCCCTGTTGTTATTCAAACTTGCTTTCAGCGACTGAACTTGTTCCTCAAGGTACTTTTTGCTGGCTTTGAGTTGGTCAATTTGCTCTTCTTTTTGCTCGATATCTTTGTTGATCATGTCTGCGACTAGTTTCTGTTCAATGAGTTGTTGCTCTACTTTTAGGAGCTTTTCCCGGTTATTAGCAGATCTGTCATTAGCATCTTTAAGCTGTGCCTCCAAAGACAGTTTCTCGCGGTACTCGTGCTCAAACTTCACTTCTAAATCCGAGACTTTACCACTGGCGGTCATGAGCTCATGTTTTAGTGCGTTCTTTTCACGGTCGGCCCTGTTCTTTGCCTCTTCCGCATCGTTGAGTTTCCTGTTCAGCATGTTTGCTTCATGTTGCAGTTCAATTACTTGTTGTTGAGCCCTCTTGAATTCGCCTTCCACTTTGTTCCCTTTAGCTTTCTGTAGCTGAAGCTCTTGTTTCAAAGATTTCTCGCGTTCCTGGCTCTGTCCTAGCCTAGATTCAATCTCTTGATATTTATCCTCACTTGGAACTAGGCGCTTATCTCTATCTTCTTTTTCTTTTTCCAGCGTCGACAGTGTTACCTCCATTTTGGATATTTCAATGTTCGAGCTTTCAATTTGATATGTGAGTTTTGAGACGTCGTCCTCTAAACTCTCATTTTTCCATTTCAAAGCTTCGAGATCTTTCTTAGCCTCAAGCAGTTCGTTCTCTACAGCCGTCTTGAATGTTTTTAGCCGTTCTAAAGCATTTTCCTTTTCGCGAAGATCCTTTTTCATTCCAGCTAACGCTCTTTCTTTATCCCGAACCTGGTTTTGAACGTTAAGCATTTCCTCTTTCACTTTCCTGTTGGCAGCCAGCTGTTTTTCATACTCATTCTTGAAATGTTCTTTGTCTTTAGTGACATTGACAACCTGAGTATCCATTGAAGTTATCTTGCAAGTAAGCGTGCTTATTTCTTGTTCCATGGTACCACGCCTATCTCTGTAGTTGTTTAGCTCTTTCTCCAGGTTATCTACTCTATCTTGAGCGGACCCTAGGCGTCTTTCTAAATCTTCTTTTTCAGCTGCTAGCCCATCGCAATTGACTCTTGTAGTGATAAGATCTTGCTTTGTGTTGTCCAAATCACGCTCTAGTTGTTCAAGTTCGTTGTTGAGATCATCAATTCCCTTGTCTTTCTTTTCCACCACCTTGTTCATTGTTTCGTTGATTTTCTTATTTTCCAATACTTGACTTTCAAGAATCATTATTTGTTCTTTGCATTCAAGTATTTTACCATTTGCACTATCAAGTTGCTCTTTTAACTGCAGTTTTTGTCGCTGAATGATCTCTACCTGAGATTCAAGTTTGTTCGTTCGGTTTCTGGCGTTGTAGAGATCTTCCTCTGTTTTGTCTTTTAGTCGCAAGGCATTAGTGACTTGGCTCTCCATGTCCTTCAACTTCTGGTCCACAGATAACAGTTTCTGGTTGATTTCAGTGTTATCGTGAGTCAGCCTTTCGATTTCTTGGGTTTGCAATGCGATCTTTTCCTCAGCGTCATCAAGCTCTTCTTCCATTTCTTCATTGTCTTTCTTCACCCCGGCCAGCCCGGCCTCAGCCTCAGCGAATTTCTTTCTGTACGTGGCCAAATCTCTTTCCAGTTCGCTGTTTCTGTTTCGCTCAATTTCAAGTTCGCGCCTCGCATTCTTATCAATATCCTTCTTAATAGTGGCTTCCAGTGTGCTCATCTTTTTGTCACGACACTGTGTTCCACTTCAAGGTGATCACTCTTCCTCTTAGTAGCCTCGTATAGGGAATTGAGTCTGTTTAATTCGTCGGTCAGCCCTGTGGCCTGTTCCTGAAGTTGCCTCTTTTCACTTTCGACATCATCTACAAGGGTCTTGTTACATTTCAACTCTGCTTTGAGATCTTCGTGGTCGTTGGTAAGGAAAAGAAGTTGCTGTCGTAATTGTTCAATAGTGGATTCCTTATCTGCTCCGTCGCGTCTATAATCGTCCATCATACTTTGCACTTCTGCTAATTGCGTCTTTACAATGTCCGTTTCATCTATTTTTTGGCGGTCATTACCAGTGTAATTTCCCAGCTCAGTTTCTAGCCATTTCTTATTTCTCTCCGCTTCTGCTATATCTACCTCTAAACGCTCATTTTTTTTCGTAAGCGTTAACACTTGCTGCTGGTTTTCCATTCTTTCCTGATCACACATCTTTAACGAGGCTTGGAGCTCGGATGTTTTCTTGTAGTAATCCTGAAGTTCATCACTTAAACGATCCTTTTCTTCGTTAGCGAGTATCAGATCTGCCTCCAAATCTCGAAGATCCTTCTGCATGTGCAGATTTTCTTCATGAAGACTCTTCTTCTCTTCTTCCAAGATTTCCATGTGTGTTTGCAGCTTATTGATCTCCTCATACAGTGGGTCACTTTTGCCCTCCATAGCTGCGATATTAGCTCTCAAGTCGTCAATCGTACGATCCTTGGAAGCAGTTTCTCTCTTGTACCACTCTGATGTCCTCTGAGACTCTGCAGCAGAAGCTTGCAACGTAACCAATTCTTTTCTTAGCTTAGCGACCTTGCTTTTTTCATCGTCTAACTCTGACTTAAGCTGCTCTTTGCTTTTAGTGATATTGTCGAGCTGACTCCCTAGTTTCGACAAGTGTGTCTTCATTCCAGCAGTCGAAACTTCCAGTTCCTCATTCTCCTGCTCGTTACGCTGTAGAGTTGCCTTTAGTTCGGTGATCTTACGCTCAGAATGTCGCAGTTGACTCTTTAAATCGTCGTTTTCCTGCTCCAAAAATTCCAGCTGTGATTCCAGTTCCGCAACTTGTTTGTTCGCCTGTTCACACCTATTTTGAAGATTTTGCACTTCATCCATGGATTCCTGAGAGCTCACCTCTAGCTGGTGGTTTTTGTTTTGGAGCGAAAACAAATTAGTTTCTAGGTCACTGATGCGCTGGCGAAGACGACTGACATGCTGTTCATTTTCCTTCGCTTTCTCGTTGGTCTTCTCGCAGTTGTTCTCTAAGGTGGGGATGCGCGCCTTTACTAGTGACAATTCTTTTTCCAGTTCATCTCTTTGCGCTGATAACCCTTCGTTGGCTTCGACAAGATCTTGTATCTTCCACTCAGATTCATGCAGTTCCCGCTCCAAGGCTTCCTTTTGCTTGTCATTGATATCAGAAGAGAGCTGGTTCCTGGAGAACTCCTGCTTCAGAGCTTCAAGTTTTGCTTGAAGTGTCTTATTGGAATTTTCAAGTTTCTCTAACTGGCTATTCTTCGAGTTAAGCTCTTCACGGTAGATGTCGGTCTTCTTTTGATTTTCCAAGAAATCTTTTTGCATCAAATTGTACGCTTCTTTACCTTTCTTGTAATCATCCCTAAGCCCCTCCAGCTGCATCTTGAAATTGTCTCTTTGCCGAAAAGCACTTTGCATCTGTACCTCGAGTTTTGATGCCTTCATCGAGTTGACTTTTATTTCTTTCTGTAGTTCCCGCTGGGTCTTGTCAGAATCAGCTTGTAAATCATTAACTTTGCTCTGTAGCGTTAAAAGTTCTTCATGTAATTCTTCCTTCTCTTTATGAACGAACTTATAGCTTGTTTCCCACTCTGTAATCTCTTGGCGAACAGCAACTAGTTCATAATTGTCATCTCTACCTCCCCCAGGCGATGAAACAAGTGCTTGGCTCGAGGACAGCTCTCGCTTTAAATCTTCATTTTCTTTCTCGAGGGATAATTTTTCCTCCCGTAACCTTCGAATAAGTTCTTTTTGTGAATCGAAGTCTCTTTTTATCGCATCATACTCCCATTCTTTCTCCGTTAATTTTCTTTGAACACGATTCAATTCGTCTTGGTGTTTTTTAGTATCAGTACGAGACTCCTTTAGCTGTTCTTGTAAATTTGTTTTCTGTTTTTGAAGGTTGTCGATTTGTACACGTAGTTTGTCAACCTAAAAGGCAAAAGTTTTTTTTTTAATTTGCTTGTTTTATTAGCGTCGCACCTTTCTGGTTGACTCCAAAAGATAATTACTATGCAAAGTGGCAATTGTTTATCTACCGAAAATGATTAAATACCTCAATTTTTTGCTGAACAGGTCACTAAGTTTTGATTTCCAAAGGTAAAGAAAAAGTTTTAAGGTCGAAGAAAATACTTCTCAAAATTTCGCCTAAAAATGTTACAAGTACAAGTATTACAAGGCTCGGTAGTTAGTTGGCAAAAGCTTTCATTATAGGTTGGCGTAAGCTATGCGGGTATCCAGAAACACGCTAATTATGGCAGATCTTGGAAAGTACTGGAAAGTGTTGAAATCCAAGTTCTCATAAGTTTAATCAGCTGATTCTTTCGCCCAGGTGAAAGCTATATGCACCAAAACCGAGAACGTGATACGACTGGCTATAAAAAGCAAAGGTGAATTTCGCTCAGGAGAAATTAGTATCTCTGTTTTCGTGTCTCTATAACCTGTAGGTGGTGGTGTGATTTAGATTGCGAGTCTATGCAAATCAGTACCAACTTCCATCAGCAATCACGAATAAAATCCAAAAATCATACCTCATTTCGATGCTCTTCCTTTACATAATCCAGTTCCAACTTAAATTTTCGATATGCTGTCTCCAGATCACTAAACGTTTCTCTTGCAGTGGCGATTTGTTTCATCGTTACATCCTCGCCCTGAATAGTTGAAGGCTCACTATTTGTTTGGTAATATGGAGACACTGACCTATACGGTTCCATTGCAGACTGGCTCGTCTTTGAAGTGCGACTCTCCATTACGGCTTCCACGTAAAACGTCTACTCAAGCACTCCTCATAGTCATAGTCAAAATCCCGCTCAAGTTTTCACGCGAGCGGCGAGAACGCAATGTTATTCCGTTCTAAGGCTTTTTCATAAATCTCTCGTCCCCTGAGGTCCACCAGTTAAATTACCAGCTGCTAGAAGCTATGAAAAGGAGCCAATCAGAAGTCTGCATTTTAAAGGTTGTACAATAGCGTTCCGGGTAGTTTTTGTGTCAAAGGTTCTTACGGTCCCTCCCTTGGCCTAACAAACAACGTGATATCCGTATTCGTCATAATAGAAATTCAGCTCACTCAGTTTTGTTCATAAAATATGAAAGATTTATCAAGAAATTAGCAAACATGTCTGGAAAAGTCGATCATGTAAAAGCCAAATAATATTTTGCTCAACAAAATCATTAGGGAAATAAAGCAATCGTCATCATAGACTAGCGTCATCGTACAGCACAATGAGCTCCCATTGTGACACTTAAACGAGTCGTTGCATAAAAACAAAACTGAAAACTTCAGAATAGAGTTATAAATAAAACAGGCTTCCGAAGACAGTTTAGTATCAAGATATCTTGCAGTGTTATTGTATTTTATGGCGTGGTGGGAACTAAAGTTACCCGTACTCCGAAACTCAGTGATGCGGAGACCGAGGTGAAATATTTTAGATATTTAATAACAATGTAAAGACTTTGTTCTTTGTTATACAAAGCGATTGTTAATCATATTCTATAATAAAAAAAAATACATGAAATGTTATTTTAGAGGCTCATAATACAACAGAAAGAATCGAGCTAAGTGATTACATTACAAACTGGTTAATAGACTATGTTATTTTCCTTATAGTAACACTGTTGTAAGCATTGAGATGAAGCCTTGCATTGTTACGAGCTATGTAAGAGGTAAATTAACAAAATGCCTTAAAAAATGAAAATTATTAACGGGACAAAGCTAAAATTAAACATGATTCTTAGATTCGACGATAAAATTAAACACTGTGTAATTGGCAAGTAAAAAACGCGTTAATAAACAATAAAATCCTAGCTCTGACGACTACCGATTCAGGTCTTAGTTTTTTAAATTTTTGGTCAGTTCCATCCGCGAACACAGCTGAAAAGTTCTTCAGTTGAAAAGTTAGATTGTTTTATGACCGTTCCTGAAAAAGGTTATGTGACCAACTTATTTAAGCGCTATTGATCAGCACATGTAAATACGCGCTATATAAATTGGTAAATTATTATTATTTTTATTTTTGCCTAAGAAAATACACCCCAATGAAGATGATGCAGGATAACAATAAGCAGCTTTTAAAATATTTCACAATGGGCATTTAACACAGTATGTAATTGACAATGTAATCATTACAATTTACACTTGAGTAATCTTTACAAGCGCCGTCAAATGGTTGACTTCACAAACAATTAAAACATTGTTTTAGAACTTGCTTTTCTTTAAATCTCTTTTATAAGGCCTTATTTAGCTAATAAAACTTTATTAGCGTTAACGACTAAAACAAATCTAAAACAAAGTTTTCGTGAAAGTAATAGCCACAAAGCGGATGTCTGTTGGTCAGTCAACAAAAGCAGGACTCACTGAATTCTAATATAATAAAAGCTGTTTGAAAGTTCTGCAGTAAAATTTCGTCGTTTTTCAGACTTCTGTCAAACAAGAAAGTTTTGCTCAACTCAAAAGTCATTAAAACCCCGTGAAAATTTATCCACAACTTGGACAGAACCATCAAAACAGCGCTGCTAGGCTAAACCGTTTTTATTCTTGTTCATCGGAATCACATTTGAGTTTCATTACATGTAGTTTAACACCAATTGCAGGTGTCAGTAACGCATTATTAGCATGATTAGCTAGCTTAACAGCGGCCTCTTGGAAAGGTCTCTTTGTATTATGTGCTTGTAATGCTGGTAAAATAAAGACATCAGGCAAAACAACCTAAGTACAGAAGATATCATGAAAGTGAAAACATATAGTGAAAACTTGAGCTCGGTATAACAGGAGCCTGTTCAAATTCCGTGAGCTGTGTGTCTAAATGATTCTTACTATCGGCATGGGCAAATCAACTCCCTCAGCTTATAAGTTCTACTATTATAGCGTCTCCAACCACACGCATTGCGACAAATCCCGCTGCGTTTTTAGACAATGAACTACAAGATAAAAATCACAGCGCTTCCCGAGTATGGCTCGGATGTTTTACTTTCATTACCTCGGATTATTCCTAACTGTTTCATTATTTTTCAATTGTCACATTGTTGAATTTCATCCAGCACAAATTTTATAGCTGATATCTAGAGAGATATAGAGGTAAAATTTACTCAGCCGTGAATCGCGCTGCGCTTTTCTCCCTGTCCAACAAAAGGAGCCTTTTCTCTTGCATGACTTTCCTAATAGAGAGAGACGCAGTGTATGGTAGAAAGGTCATTTATTCTCTAGGTGATGTTAAAAGCGCTTTCTCTGCCAAGAGACTTACATACACAAAGGATCCTATTCGCGTGTTTCGCGCCTTCCTCGTAGAGACGAGTGGTCCACAACGGAAAAGTCCTGGGTACGAGCTTAATGTTTTATTAGCTGCCGTTGCTTAGGATACCTTGATGCATAACCCTGAATTATGAGGGGATGGCAGTATTACATTCTATTCGTTTAATTTTTGTTTTTTGTAAAACTGAAAAAATAAATAAATAAATAAATAAGACTTAAACACTCTTTCCATAATGTTCTGAGCCTCTAAAATTAACTCTTGCATATTTGGCCACTCGACAGTAGCCAGGGAATTCTTCCCTAGGGCTTGTAGGAGAGTTGTTTTGAGAGAAATGAATGTATTTCTGGCTGGTAAAAAATAGTTAAAAAGACGCGCAATAAAACGTTATGTCAGCTTTTCCCTCATAGGCTTAACTGGTGTTACCTATTACAAGAATAAATAATTTAGTTGCATGAATGCTATGCAAATAACAGCCACCGGAGCAGACCATAAAAGCCAGTAACATACAGCTGGGTATACAATAACTTATATATATTTCATGGTCATCTCAACATGTTTAGCGGGAAATAAATATGAGAGAGCAAGGAAAAGTAAGTATACCTCATCAGACCACATCGGTTAGGAGACAGTGAAATTTATTACATCAGAGCAAAATAGACAACTAGAGCTGTGAAATTAGTCTGTTATCGTCAAATTTAATTTTTAAAATTTGGACTAGTAATACGCTTGGTATTCTCACTCGGTGGTCTTGGAAACGGTTGTCTGAAGCAACGCCAGAAATTTATTCACGGATAAATAGGCTTCAAACAGGGGTGGTTTGAATTGTCAACAATCAAGCGACCTGAAGTGAAATCCGTACAGAAAATTCAAGGAACTTAAAATAACCATTGAATCTCGAAGGATGTTTTTTAATTTGATGGTAAAATATAAAAGTCTGAGTGTTTGTTACTATGTTTAAAAATTTTAAATTGAATGTCTACTACATAAATGATTCGATGCTTCGAGTGGAGATATTGTGGCAACATACAGTACTACATCAAGAACTTTATATTAAATCACAGCCCGATCGAAAATAGCGGCCACAACAAAAAAGATTGATTTAAAATGAAGCTTGTTCAAATATTGACCAATGAAAGAGAAATGAATGTATCTTGCATTCGTTTCCCTAGTTTGTTATTCAGTAGTTTGTACTCGATTGGTTGCAATTTTTTTAACTTTGACGCCTAAAAACCATAAATATTGAACCTTTATTCGACCTAAGCCAATACAAGAAAAAAAGTTGGTTCCCCGAGCTAGCGTTGTGTAATTTCACCAGAGAACAGTCCAATTGTTTTTGCAGGTTATTTGTGTTCTCGCCGGAAAAATAACATTTTAATTTTTTTTTACAAGTAACTTCTAAATTAACTTATTTTCAAATATTCTTGTTGATACAAGATGCAGAGAATGAAACTAAACATCGAAATACTAAATGTTCTGAGTATAGAGGATAATTTAAAATTATCTTCTCATTCGTTTTCGAAGCACCTGCTGGTTCCAATTATAATAACAGCTTAGCTTGTGCCTCCTGATTGGCTGAAATGAAGGCGATAACTAGTAATGTAGCAAATACCAGGTAAATATGGGCATTTTGGCAAAGGTTTCCTGGGTGAAGGACAGGTAATGAGAGTCACATGGACTATGTAAGTAACTGGGAAACTTGTCTGATTATCAGGCCTTCCTAAGGGGGTAAGGGAGAGAAGATTTTAGATGGGGAGGGGGAAGGGGGGGGTTTCGCTTCTCTCTTCCTCCCTTTCCCCAGAAACACCTGGTACTCAGGCTACTGGGAAACCGTCCAAGTTTGGACAAAGAAATCTGTTTGGAACGAAGTTCCGATCGTGTAACCGGCAATGAGGCTTTTTAAAGTTAATTATGAAATTGACGGTCCTGATTCAGACAGTTTCATGTTCTTAAGGTTCGCAAGGCCGAAATAGGTGAAAACAATTGAAACAAACGATCCAGCAAATGAAACGCTTCAAGGTTAATTATTATCGAGGTGGCTACCTTTGAAACGCCTGCGAAAACAGAGAGTAATAAATGTCATTAAACAGTTCAGTAGGACGAGACTTCTTGCGTATGTACTTGAAAATTGTAGACGATCCTGACTGGAGAGTTGACTGAAAGTTGAAACGACGATGGGCGCCTTAAACGATAAAATGCCAAATAGATGCATGTACTAGCCGACAGAGAGTTCCTTGAGATAAGATATATGCATTTGTTCTGTTTTATCCAATTTGTGATAATATTCATTAGCCAGCTAGTATTCTAAGCACTAAGATTCACGCGAAGCCACAATATTTTGGGTCAGGCAGTTTATTACAATTCTTTATAACAATAATACAAACGATATCAATCAATACTACTAGGCTACAAGGATAGAGACCCGTGTAGGGTTGACACAGTATAATACAACTTAGAAATCGAAAACATTAACAACAAGAAGATCATAACTGCCCGGGATGTGGGTGGGTGGGAATTAAAGCTAAATAAAAACTTCTGTAAGGCTAATTGCAATGTGCTCTGCTTGCTGTAAAAACGCTATGTGAAATAAGTACTGAGAACATAGCTTGAGCATCGTTGTATGCCCTGATTTTACTAGACTGCTTATTGAGCAAGAGCTAGTACAGTATCTCTAGCTAGAATCCCTTCGCGCCTAGACTCATTTTAATGAGGATTAATATTCAGCCAAAAACCTTTTCAACGAAAGTTCGTCAATTACTGTCGATTTAGAACTCTGCCTACATAAGACCGGAACAGAAGGCCGGATCTCAAAAACCGAGTAGAATATGACGGAAAACCATACGAATCGAGGGGCTGAAACATGCTTAAAGAGAATCAGGTCAGAAGGTAACAGAAAGGAAACTCTTTTGAAGTTACACCTTTTAAAAGAATAGAGAAAGTATAGTTTTGATAAAAAGATAATCAGGCGGAAATGTGATAATGAAAACGTTACCGGAAAAAAATTTGATTTATTTTCTGTAAGAAGAACCTTCAAGCCTTACGAGTAACCGAAAGAAGATATTACGTGACAGGGGAACAATGTTTATATCAATTTTATTTTGATTGATCGCTGCGCTGCTTAATGTTATGCCAGCCCCTTTTTTATTTGACTCAGAGTATGTCGCCTTAAAGTTCTTGCAACATTTCGTAACGTCCCATCAGCTTTTTGCAGTTTAAAATTTCTCACAGCTATATTTTCTTTCTTTTTTTTCACTCTAAAATCCAGCTGTAGCTGTCATTGTCAAATGACAAAAATCGCTTTTAACTCTTATTTCCGATTCGTTTAGTTTGTTTACCGATGTATGAATGTTAGGAAAGGTGAAAACTAACAATTACTTTTGTTATTTGTTAACATCCTTTCGGATTCTCTTTCATGTGATAGAGGCCTTTGTCATTTGTTGATAAACCAACCATTCTCCCTTTCTGTTGCGTGGAAACGTTATAAAAGAATGAATGAGTTTGTTTTTGAGCAAACATAATGAAAGATTTCTGAGAATTATTGTTTTCCATTCCTGACTACTTTGTTCCGGCGGTCGACCAAAATTTACTCAAGATTTCAACTACATGGCTCTTAACATTTCCATTATAGTGAGCAAACAAGAAAAATAGTCATCCATATTTAAGACGATGCCTCGAAAATGAAAATGACCGACGCAAGGAAACAATGGTTAAAACTACTAAGGGTAGGCCAAAAAAATTGTTTAATTTTATTTTGGGAAGGAATTTTTGACCAAAAACAGATTGGTTTCATGATTTATTGAATCCTTTAAATTCGATTTTCTTTTTATGAACAAGACTTGAACGGAGTATTTATAGAAATAACACGCAAATAAATATTCCAAGTAAAACACTTTCTTCCAAAACATTACCAACTCTATTACTCACAAAAATATGATTTCTGAATCAGTAGTTGATATGATTTGAGCATAAATATCTTAAAAAAGTCTTCGCATCGTTTTAACTGTCGGAAATTACACAGGCAGTCACCTAACCAAGGAATATCGGTTCACTCGGAAGTATTTCTTGTCAATGCGCTTTCTTTAATCGGTTTATGATATTAAGGTTATTTCTTCAGAAGAGACTCTACGCTCAAAGTATTGAAAAGAAATTGCTGTTAAGTTCTATTTAGCTAATTTCGAAATCATAACGTCTCGAAATAATGACCTTCGACTTATTTGTATGAACATGTATGAATTGATCGGAAGTTTATCGATGATGATTCTGTATTAATTTCTAGTACTAAATTACTTGGAACCGGAAGGTGTAAAATTTTTCTCCTCTCTGGGTTTTGAGACAAGTTAACCGATAGTGTTCTTATATTTATTTTCTTTACAGCAGTAGAGTGAATAATTTTCCCCTTTAATGACTGTCTAAGAAGTAGTTAGTCATTAAAGGGGAAAGTATTCACTTTACCCTGTAAAGAACAAAGGAGGCTATAGGCATATAGTTGTCTAGCTGGATTGTCATTTGACCTAAAAGATATTTTTTTTTTATAAAGAAAGAGCTTTCTTAGGGAAAATGGTAAAACCATGAAATTGATCAGAAGACAAAACACACAAGTCCGTTCGCTGTTATTGGCTAAAAGCTCCTCTCGCAAAATAACAACCAATACCCAATTATTGCTGATTTTGGATGAGGCAGCATCACGTGGCAAGTGACTTAAGCGCGCGCCCTCGCGTGACTTAGTGTGTAAACGAGTTTTCGGTGCCCACCCACAGCAAGTAATTAATTGGACAGTAAATCACGCCAGTCGCTGTTCTTGTGGATTGAGACAAAAAAGCCTTTCCGACAGTTCGTTTAAGTATTTCTTGTCTCGTGATTACCTTTTTTGACTCTGCGACCCCAAAACAGTTGATCAATTATGGAAAACACGACTTCGCTTTATGGATTAGGTGCCTGAATGTAGCAGAACTGAAGAGTTTGATAACAGTAGACAGTTGTGTTCTATATTTGTAACGAAATTGGCTCAAAGGTAACGTTTGACTGAAGAAGTGTGTGGTCTATGATATATAAGCGCAAATGACTGAAAACGCTCCATTACATAATACGACTGGCAATATTGTCACGGAATTGAAATTACGAAATGACCATGAAACTACTTCCTCCAAGGTAAGTGAAAAGAGTGATGTATCACATGTTATCTCTGAAAATAGTGACTGGCGAAATATTTAAAGAAGTTAAACAGCTTTCGAGAGATTTACCGTGCGTAAGATCTGATTTCGTCGTGCCGCGCTATTTTCGTAAAGGGTGCCCAATCTTTATTAGCCAAGATATGGTTTTTCCTCACCGTGTATTGTCCTAAAACACTACCGTCGAAATGACTTATTTTTTAAGTTTAATTAACTTGTTGTTAAAAACCTAAATTTTTGTAAGAGATAAATAAATATTGCTGTTAGGTTTTTGTCGGGACTTGCCATATGCAGTCATTAGACAAATGTATTTAGTAATTAAATGTACCTTACATGTCGTTCAAGTTAAGTAGCCAAAGCATTTAAATTTACAGTTTCGGCACTCTCCAATACGATGAAGGGGATTTGCCTTTTATTTACTCGAGAAACCAGTTTAATTAAAAGATACCAGCTTCAACATAATGAAACAACATCTGCTCTCTCGTTGTGCAACCATCAATGTTTTATTTGTGGGTGACCCTTTTGGCCTTATCTTGAATTCCAGTGACTCATATTTCTCGAGGATTACGAAACAATTGTAAGCATGCACGTCTCAAAACACTTCTAAATCGGTAACGCACTGTTCGTTCAAGCGGTTTGGTTTCCATGATCGACTTGAGGCCATGTATTTTGAGTTTACTGGCAATTCGCTTTTATATTTTTAAAACCCGAATAAGCCTCAAGAATGAAAGTACACCAGTTAATCGAAGGAAAGTTTAAAATATTTCTGAGATGAAGAAGAACTGATTATATACAGCGATGCGGCGTTCATCACGAGCGCAGAGCAAGCATCCATTTTTTAGCATTTTTCCTCGCATATCAATCGGTAAGAAGTCAAAACGATGGGCTCAAGAAATCTATGTTTTTCCACAGAGTCGTGTGGTGTCTGAGACCAATTTGTTAATCCATCTCAACCGCATTTTGGATGAATATGATGAAGAGCTGAAAAATGAGAGGTTGATCGCAGAAAACGCGAGTCTCAAGACTAACAAGAAGATTCATCGGCTCGACAGAAAGGACAGGCACCAAGATGTACAGGACGCGTGCCAAATACACGATTTATCGCTCAGAGAATCGTTTCTAAGGAGCTGCGAACAGCTTGGCATACCTCCGCTCGCAATGACATACTTCCTTGACAGAATGACATCCGGGGATTCAGAACTGATTATGAGGAATCTTGGGATAGGTCCGATGGGTACAGTGGCGGTTTCCGAAGCTTTGGGGCGAAATCCTTCAGTGAAGAAACTTGATCTGTCACTCAATGATATTCAAGATAAAGGGGCCATTTCCGTGGCTAAATTACTTGAGGTAAATAGTCTGATAACTGAGGTGAACCTGTCCGAGAATAAAATTGGCAAAGATGGTGCCGAAGCGTTTGGTAACATGCTAACAGTGAATGACAGTTTGATTAGACTTGATCTTTCGAGGAATCATTTAACTGATGATGATATGCAATTTTTTAGTAATGTGTTGCAAACTGAGGATTCCCTTACCAAGCTGGATTTAAGCCATAATTTGCTAGGAGTTACTGGCGGGGATTATTTGGGAGAAATGATCGAGCGTAACGATTCCTTACGACAGTTGAATTTAGGGTGGAACAGATTCAGCGATGAGGGAGTCAAACATATTTGCACCGGCTTAAAGGAGAATCGAACGCTAGAAAAGTTGGATTTAAGCTGGAATGAAATTGGTCAAGAAGGTGCTCGATGGATCGCTTGGTCACTTGAGCAAAATGGGAAGCTTTTAGAACTCAACCTAAATAACAATCGAATCACTGACCGGGGATTAGAAAACATAGCCAGGAGTCTGGAACTAAATGATACCCTTAAAGTTTTCAATATAGGTTGCAATATCATTACTTCAGACGGCGCTTGCGCACTACTCCAGTCGCTACTTAGAAATTCAGGCAGCACAATTGAAGAAGTACACATGGCGGAAGTAGAGATAAACAGTAGCATTAAAGAATTGTACTTCCGGTTGAAGATTCGAAGGCCGCGATTCCAACTCCTAGGGCTGTCAACAGCAAGTGGCGAGGTGTTTCATTTTGTGAAACCTCAAAATCCTATGATGGTCTTGGATGATTACCTCAAAAGGAACAAACTGACCACAAGGAAATATTGCAGCATCGAAGAGGAAGGAGATTGATATTCATAACGACGAAAACTACCCGCCTACGAGGTTAACTATTTCGGTAAGGAGGAACTCCAGATGGCGATCTTGTTTGCTAGCAACGTGGTCTTAGGATCAGCCACGAAGAGTAAACTTAGAGTAAAATGCAAGACTGATTGGACAACTCAAAAAGAGTAACTTAAATTTTCCCAATATTGCGGACAGTGACCCCCTTCTCGTGGGCAGGTTTGCTCCCAATGTGTGCCGCCAATGGGTCTTAAATGCTGGCTCTATTTAAAGAGGAGGTAAACGAAAATTGACACCCTATTCAAAGAACAAAAACTAAGAATTGATGGTGATGGCCTTGATGAAGTCACTTTCCTAATGCTCTAAGAGACCGTTCTGTTTTATTGGGAGCTTTAGCAACGACGACGGTGAAGGCAAAGAGATCTTCGAGAAAGCAAAACAACAAGTCTGCACGTGTATCACGCTTTTTTGTACATTTCTTTGCCGTCACTGCACGGCTACGACGTGAAAATACCTAATTTCATGTTTTAAGGAGGACGTAAACAAGCGACGACGAATTTTTCTTTCTCTATTTAAACTTGAGTTCGGGCCCCAAGAAATCAACTCCAGGGAAATACGCCTACATTTGACATTTTCGACGAATTGGAATAAACGCGACAAAGTTTGAAAAAAAAAGCGAATTCATTTCAAAAGTGACGTGTCATTACCGTCGTCGATGCTAAAGCCCCCTAATGCCTTATCGAGGCGCTAGATAACCATTCTCTATTGGGCGGCACATGTCTGTCTAGCCCATATATGGGAGTAACCCCCACCAACAAAACTATCCATTTAAGAGCTGTAAAAAATTTAGCCTGCGTTGCGGGCCCTTGGAAGTAATGGCGCAACAAAGAACAGGCGCGCGAGAGGGAGACACACGGGGGGAGAGGGAGCGCCTGCCCGGAAGACCCACGAAAATCGTTTCAACTCGCATTCTGTGAGTGTAGCCTGCGTCGCAGACGCTCTAAACCTTCTACAAATGGTTTAGACGAGTGCGTGGACTAGCCTGTTTCAGGCTCCGAGATAGTAGGATCCGCTGAATTGAGAAAGCACAAACCCGAAAATAAAACGTAAGGAAACTAGGGTGAGCAAGGGCGGCGTCTCACTTCCTTTTTCCTTTTTCCCGCCCCGCCAACTTTTCGCGTGCCTTTTTCTTTCGCGTCTTCCCCACTATTCGAGAGCCTGGAACAGGCTAGCGTGGGCCGGCTACAACGCAGGTGATGTGATAGCCTGCGTGGCAGGCGTTTTAAAAGGGAAGGGAAAGGAATTTTTGGGAAAGGAAGTTTTAAGCGCGAGAGAAACGCTCCCTCCTTCCCTCCTCGCGCGCCCCTCGCGTTTCTCTCGCAAACTACCTTTCCCTTCCCTTTCAAACGCCTGCCACGCAGGCTAGCGATGTGAGTGCGGATATTTCCAGTTGGTTGAAAGGCTCCCGAGGGAAAAAGAAACCGCGCTGGGCCAGAAAACTGTCATTCAATAGTACGTGAACAACGTACTGAAGGTATTATATCACACCACCAGCTCCTGAAACACGGCTTGTGTTGTCGATGGAACGCATACCATCAAAACTTGGACAGGAGTGATGAAATGAAACACTTACCGGGGGCATGAATTTGACAAACCTTTCACTATTGTATTATTCGTCGTTCGGAGGCGACCTGAGGTCTGTTGTTTATGTCTCGTGACTGCAGCAGAAAACGGCTCGGTACAGTTTGTGTTCTGAAGTTTACGTCCGCTTAATAGTAAGACCTGTCTGCTCCGAAAACGGCTGCCACTTAGCGGAGTAAAAGCAATGATCATTTTCCACGTACGCTGTGATCGTTGGTGTCTGTACTCATGTGACTCAGAGAGAACAATATTTTTAAATTTTTAAGGATTTCTATGGGGAAAAAACCTATTGTTTCTGTATCCTATAAAAATGAAAGGATTTCAATGAAAAACAGCTTACCTTACATAAAATGTGTGTTACGTCTCTCCTGTGTAGTCCATGGGCCGATTTATGGCCGTTTTATGGGTTGTACTGTAAACGGTTCTCTCTCTCTCTTAAAGGTTTACCAAGGATGGGGACTCCAGCGAAGCGGCCTGACAGATCCAATTGCCCCCAAATTCCTCCTAGGTAACACACGATAGTTTTGCTTTCCATTCGTGATCTTTCTTCAAGACGCATTTGTACCGAAAGCGAATTAAAGGTCGCCAATCTCTGCAAACCTGAGCCCATCGACGGAACCTTGGTTTAAACTCCGCTTTACCCAAACAGTTGAAGATAGCTCACGTTACTCACGCTAGGGGTGGGTGACAAAGCATTAGCCGCATAGATAGCCCATAGACAGGTCAGCTGAGATGGCCCGCTTTAGATTCGCTTTACCGACCAGGGTCCGTTTATGCGTGAATTATTTCCTTGTAAAAATTTTATTCACGTTTAACGTTGTGTATGAAAAGGCATACTGTCCCGCTTTCCGTGTGATTTTGGCTGCTCGATCTGAGATCTCGACCCGGGGGGGAGGGTACTCGATATATCCCTGGGTGGGGAGGTGCGGCGTGGCCCCTCATACCCTGACCCTGTTCAAGACAAATATCGCTGATTTTCCTACCCTGTTTAAGACAGAATTCCGATTTTTGATACCCTGTTTTGAGAGACATTTATCCTGTTTAAGACAAAAATTGATAGATCGATACCCTGAGTGATTAAGACAAAAAACGATAAATTCGAAATCCTGTTTCAGAAGACAAAAATCCCGAAAAACATACCCTGGCTGTCCGCACGTCCCCATTAAGCCCTTATAAGGGAGTACCCCCCGGGGATCTCGACATGGAGCAATGTTTTGTCACTTACTAGTACCCCTAGCGTGAGTAACTTGAGCTGTCTTCAACCGTTTGTTCATAAATGGCGTTCCATAAAGGTTTGCAGAGATTGGCAACCTTTCGTTTGCTCTCAGTGCAAATGCATCTTGAAGAAAGATCACGAATGGAAAGCTGAACTATCGTGTGTTACCAAGGTGTAATTTGGAGGCGATTGGAGCCGTTGGAGCGAAATTACGGCCGTTTTCCTTCGGTGGATCTGTTGGTCCGCTTCGCTGGAGTCTCCAACCTTGGTAAACCTTTATGTATACAGAGAAAACCGTTTACAGTACAACCCATAAAAGGGGCATAAATCGGCCCATGGACCACGCAGGAGAGACGTGACACGCATTTTATGTAAGGTAAGCTGTTTTATACTGATATCCTTTCATTTTCGTAGGTTACAGAAAAGATAGGTTCTTTCCCCATGCCAAATCCTATATCGGTCAGTGTAAAACGCAGACTGCGGACTGCAGACTGCGGACCAGGGGTAAAATGCAGACTGTGTGTAAAATGCAGACTGCAGAATAAGAGTAAAACGCAGGCTGGGGTAAAACGCAGACCAAGCGTAAACTGTAGTCGTGGAAGTGTTTAAGGGTAAAAAAAATCTGGCAAATACACGTAAACGAACACTTACTTGACGACATCTGCTTTCACAAATCCATCCCTTTCTTCTCTGAAACGTCGTCGACGACCCGAAAACATAATCGCACTCTTGAACCTTTTTTTCCGTCCGAGAGACTTCACACTTCAACTTTAGATGCGAAGTTTTCGACATACGTGACCAGGGACCGTCAATTGGTACAACACCACGATGTTTACGCTTAAATGAAAGCTGCTGACCCAAAATACTGTACAGGAAGAATTATGGCGATAAAAAAGGGAGTAAATCATTCCAACAACAAAAGAAGGTGTTCTGCAGGAAATTTGGATGACCTTCTATGAAAGTGTTGCAAATCAAGGTACGCAGACTTAAGCTTTTTGGATGTTCATTGAAACTTCTGGCAAATGTGCAATGTACTTCGACTAGGAAGCGAAGTATGGTAACTGATACCGGCTAGCTATTTCACCGATTTGGAGAAGAAGGAGCACAAATATTTAAAAACGTCTACAGTCTTTATTCTGCATTTTTCACCCAGCCTGCATTTTACTCTCAGTCTGCAGTCTGCATTTTACACTCAGTCTGCATTTTACCCCTGGTCCGGAGTCTGCAGTCTGCAGTCCGCAGTCTGCGTTTTACACTGACCGAATACTATATTTCGTACGTTACGCAACAATGCCACTTAGGCTCGCCGATGGGCTACTGATTTAAATAGCTTTTTATTCTTTAAAAGATTCCCATTTTTGACTTTGTTCTTTCCTATTTATTGTGACCGCGCCACGGCACGGCGTGGTTAAAAACGATTTAAAGCTGTGTGTTAACCATCAGTTTATTGCTCCATCGCTCTATCATCAGACAACCCAGCTGGTCTTTACAATTACAACAGATATATTTAGACCGAGGACAAAATGTAGAACGCTTTTTGGCGGCACGCTTTGTTTGTGCGAGGTCAGTCGTTTTCTGTCAAAATTTTTGACAGATCACGCAGCGGCTGCCAGGTAATTAGGTTGGGGGTGGGACGCTCCCTCTCCCCTCGCGTGTCTCCCTCTCGTAGAAGTAGTAGGCGCAATAAAGAACGGCGCAAGCTCCTGCTACGCAGGCTATAAAAAGCTTCGTGAAAGAAACTTGAGAAATCTATCTCTGTCGTTTGTTCTAGTCAGGTGAAATCTTAAACTGTAACCACAATAAGAGGAAACTACTTTTCTGTGTTGCTGGTTGAAAACAGACTGCAAGGTTGCTTAAACATTTTAGTCTGTGGCTAATATTTCAGCGTTTGACGATTTAAAGCTATTTAAAGCAATCTGCTCTGGTGCTGTTTATCGTGCTGTCCGAGGTTCACACCTTACCCCAAAATGAACTAGTTTTGGAGACGTTCTACCAATGGATTAAAATATATATACTGGACATACTGGACTCCTGTGTGTGGTTCATTGCGCTGTGCAACCTCGTTCTCAGGGACGGGTAGGAGAGAACCCTGGGAACGAGGTTTTGTGCTGTGCTGATTGTCCACAAAATTTACTAGAAAAATTGCGCAAGT